ATGTTTAGAAGTATATTCAAAGCCAAAAAAGTCAATTTGTACAAAAAAAAAATAGATTATCTTCAACTTTCCTCTCACTTTTGGAAGAAAAAAAAATTGTGGGCCGGAGAAAAACACTTTCCCTCTAATTTTTCGTCCTCTCCTATTTTTCTTTGGAACCAAACAATAGAAACCCTTTCTTTTCATCCTATTTTTCTTCATCTATTTTTCATTCACCCAACTTGCCATCCAACCAAACAACAAATCAAGGAAAAAAAATAAAGGTAGGGCCCACTAATTTTGTCTCTCATTCTCACCGTGCAAACAAAATAGGTGGGTGGGGACCATGTAGAATAAATACTTGCGTTGTAAAAGGCCATTTATGGTAGTGTATAAATAATTATTTTCTTTTCCATATCAAACAAAATAATAAAAAATTCTTTCCTCTTATTTTTCCATCTTACTATCAAACAAAAAAAAAAAAGTTTTTTCCTTCCTAGAAAGACGAAAAATACATCTAATATTCTTCCATCCAAAAAAAAATTCGGTTTCGGTTTTCCATCCCAAAAAAAAATTCTTCTTCTCTTTTTTTGTTTTTTAAAAAAACTTTTTTTCCTCCAATGTATCTTTTTATTTTAACTCTCAAATTTCTTTACTTCCTTATTTTCATATATTTTAATTCTTCCTATAATAAGCGCATGTCATTCATTTTTTGTCATGTTATTTTTTATTTTTTTTTTCTAAGTTAAAAAATATATAATTTTTTATTGTTAAAATTCAAAAAATAAAATTCAACCAAAGACAAATGATATTGTTGGTGAATAATAAGAGTTTAGCAAAATCATGTTTCTAGGACGTATCAATGAGTTTAAAAAGAGATTAAAAAATAAAAAAAGATAAAATAAAGAACTAAATAAATAAAAATGAAATATGACAGGTGAATCTTTTGAAGAATGTAAAATAAGACCATTAAATTTTTTAAAAAAATATGAAATTTAAGTGAAAATTGAATTTCAATTTTAATATATTTTTATTTAAATTTAATTTAATATTTAAGTAAGGGTTAGAAATACATTAATTGGGTATTGCTCGAGTCGTGATTTACAAGATTTAAATTAAAAAGAAAAAAAAATGATGTAAAGGAAATGGCAAACGGAGATAACAGTAATTGACCATTAACTTGCGGCTCTATGCCACGGCACGGTGCCAACTCGCCTGAGTTCGTTGCCCCCAGAAAAATGGTATCCACCCGCCCTGCATATACCCAAACAGGGGCAATACTTCCACAGAGAACGTGTTTGAGACTGAGACAGAGACAGAGACAGAATAGAGAGAGTTGTAGGCTTGTACTTGTGTGTGCGATCCGTGTAACCAATGGCTTCGAATTCATCGTCGGATAACAATCTGCTACTACCGGTGTCGGATTCTCCAGCAAGAAGCGATGAGAGTCTGTTCAAAGGATCGGCCATGTCCAAGCGTGGAGCTTCCGCTGCTATCTCTTACATGTCCTGTGCTGGTATGTGTTCTGCTCTTTTTTCTTTTTTTTTTCTGCCAATCCATACATGCGAATCAGTGGATGTTGACATTTCAGTCGGATATATGTGTGTAAATAGATATATATATATATATATATAGAGAGAGAGAGAGAGAGAGTTTGAATTTCGATTTCGCTGAAAATCAGTTAAAATTAGCCGGAAACCAGAAAATTTTTTAGGCTGATGGTACGGTATAGGGGATGTCAAAGTAATTTGTTAATATAGTGCTTTAGTAAAATGGTAACAACTAACAGTTAAAAAAAAAATTGATAAAATCTAAGAAAATGACTTAAGAACAATAAAATTAAGGAGGTGTTCAAAATTTGAACAAATTATTCGGCTTAAATGATGATTCATATTACAAAAGTTTTGGAAAAGAGTGATCAAGCAACGATTAAGACTTGCAGCACAGAATCAATTTGGATTTATAGTTGGAAGTTAAGTAGAATTATCTAAATACTTATTAATACGAAAATGTAAATGTCTTCATATTGTATTGTAGATTTTGAAAAGCTGTTTGATATTTTAAAGAGATTTCTTATGTTTTGTTTTTGAAGAAGAAAAGAGTTACAAAATTGTTATATGGAAATCATTCAGGACAATTGGGAGGGTATTGTCACTATAGTGAGAACAACCACATGAACAACTAGTGAAGTCACTTGCACATTATGGGTCAATAACCTCGTACCTTTGGCATTTTGTCTTCGTTGTGGATGAATTGGCTAAATAGGTTCATGAGGGGCTTTCATGGTGCATGTTATTTAGATGATGATATAGTATAGTCCCATCAAAAAACTGATTGACTCAATTAACGTAGTAACAACTAACACTAAAAACTAAAATTGTATAGATTTTTTAGAATAAAAAGGATTTATAATTAGAACTAAAATTGAATATTAGTAATGTCACATCACATTATGTTGAAATGTGGATGGGGAGATAGTAAAGATCCACCAAAGAGCAAGCAACTCTCAGTTTCGGGGCCGATTGTTCATAGGGAAGCCAAAATTGGAGATGATGTTACTTATAGAATTGAATTAGCATGGATAGAGTGAAGTACAGTATCTGGTGTATTATCTGATCTCTATATGAGAGAGAAAGAGAGAGAGAGAGAGAGAGAGAGAGAGAGAGAGAGAGAGAGAAACCAATAGAGTCCTTAGAACTGATTAAGAAACATTGGAGTCTTAATTGCCATTTGTGGACGTAATTGATACATTGAAAAAATACACAAAATGAATGAACACCTTTGGGTTTTTTAATCTTGTCCTTCAAGAGTTTTGTTCATATGTTCTGGATAGTTTTGTTGGTAGTCTGTGTCTTGTGATGGTGAATATGTGGAAGCTGAGAGCTTCTCCGAGACCCTAATGAGTGTCAGGTTAATTGTATATTTTTTGAAATATCTCGGTTGTGCATAAGATGCTTGACATTCTAATTGAATAACAAAGGAAAAATGAAGCTTGATGTTTGAACGGATTTAATGAGGCCCATATGTGGTAGCAATATTCTCTTACATTTGTGCCATATTTCTTGTGTTCTAGATCCAAAGTGAACCATGTTACTCTTGCATTTTTTTTTTACATAATGCATTGCATATGTTTCACAACTAAAACTCATGGAACCCGCATGAAAAGATTAGGGAAGGGAGACAATTGCTATTGAATATTAAACTAGGAGCCTGATTGTTAATGAGTTGGAAGGTGGTTGTGCTTGTCCTACATTGGTATAATACTGCCTCCTAAACTAGTACACGAGTCTTTTGATCCTCTCCATTCACGCCCAATTGGTTGACTTCCACTCATAGCCACTGGGTTTTAAGTTGGATGCTTGAACATAGTATTAGAGTTGTCCTTCAAGTGGCTTTGGACACGCATTTTTTTGGTGATTTGATATTGGCTCTCTCTTATTATGTCTTCTATTTCTACTTGCACAAGTGTAGAGATTGTCCTACATTAGCACAAAAGCGCCTCCCAAACTAGTATATGAACCTTGTGAGAATGGAGTTGTGAGCCTCTTCATTCATCGACAATTGGTTTTGAGTTGGATGTTTTAACTGAAACCCCCATCCCCAGAGAGAGAGAGAGAGAGAGAGAGAGAAAACAAAAAGGAAATGAACAAAACATCTTCTAACAAACTTCAGAGATTTCCTTAAGCCGCCTATTCTATGTGGCTAAGAATTATCTGTATCTCATCTCCTTAGGTTGTATCTTTTTAAAGTGTTGTTAATAGAATTTCATAAAGATGCCATATTCTTTTCTCTGACTTGTGCAACCATGGCTTGACATCTCTTTTGCAGTGCTTTTGGTATTGTTCAACAAAGCAGCTCTTTCGTCGTATAATTTCCCATGTGCAAATGTCATCATGCTATTTCAGGTAGAAAGTTACCAACTTAATTTGTAATAGTTGCTGATCTATTCACTCTATTGCAAATTTTCAACTCAACACGCTGATGGAGTTTTGGTCAACAGTGTACAAATGTTTCCAACCAGCATTAAAAATGTGTACAAGGAACAAGAATTGGCTATTTTATGTTAAGTAAAATGCAGACAGGAGCAACCATGGTAGGTTTGTAGGGAAATTATTCATAAACTGTCAACTTTGCCCCCTGATCCGGAACTCTTCTCGATGCTGAAGAGTTTCCTGAGGGATCAATATGAAAATCTGACCTAACACCAAAAGGTGGTTGAAGAGTTTTTAAGTTGATGAGCAGCTAGCTAGCCGTGACTTTACTTGATGTGAAAGTTGATCCCACCATTTGCTAGTTGTTGAAAGATTGGACTCTTGGATGACCTGTACCCCTCTAAATAACGTTGAACAAACAAACTAGGGTGCAAAGTCTCTCCATTTTCATACATAATGCTCTCTATATTTTAGCATTACTGTGTGGTAGCCAGCTTTAAATGTGGTTTAAATTATCCTTCTTTCATTTTACGGATAAGCACCATGGACTACCAGATTCTTGACTGCAACTATCATATAAACTCATAAGGTAGTAGCACTAATACCACTGTTTTTACTCTAGTGGATTACCTTAGGTGGATAAGAACTTTTATTAAAACGTAAAGGGTGTTGAAGAGATTACAAATACTTATGTAGTTATACCAATAGAAAATTTTGAAGATGTGCTCATGGAATTTTCCACCTTGGGATAGTAAACAACGTTGACCTTTTAAAATAAAATTTCTTGTTGACTGTATCCCTTGCAATGTTGTGAGTTCCCAAGACAATAGTAAAAAAATGGCACTTACAGCAGAAGCTGTAGTAGCAACAATTTTGAGGGAGGAGATTCCTGGGTGTGGATGATTACTGAGTTAAATGAGAGGAGATTGAAGGCGGGCCACTGCACATGATTCCTGCCGCTGCGTGGTCCGGAGGGGACTAGGTGTACATAACCCTACACTGCGCATGCAGAGAGGCTGTTTTCACAACTCGAACTCTTGACACCAAGGTCACAATGAAGCAATCCTATGGTTATGCTAAGTGCCACCCTCATATTGAATGATTGCACATAAATATTGGTGTTTGTCCAATGTGTTGAGCATTTTGAAGTGGAATGCAATTGGCTAGAAGTCTGCTGCTGTAGCCTGCAGCATTTACATGTAAGGCCAAGTGAGGCAAATGGATGTACTTGTTCAAACTATGTAATGAACAAGGAAATCCTGAATCCCTGTACAACAGGCGTAGTGTCATAAAGTATGGATTGAGTAGGTGATGTAGAGTTAGTTTAGATTTTGGGTTGGGTGATAGGTAGCTGCAGCGCCATTTCGAATTGTGTAAGTTCGTAGAATTGATGATAGAAGAAGCAGAACCAGTCTGAGACATCATCAGTCCCATACCATCCATGAAAACCAGTTGGAGAATGCTTCTTTGATTTCTTTTGATGAGTCATCAAAAAGATGAAAGAGAAACTGGATGCTGAAGACGTGGAACGAGATATAACCTAAATCCTGGTTTCCCAAAGCTTGCATTTTGTGAAAAGAAAAAATTTATAGGCTTTATTGACCTTTTACACCATCATAACTTCTTTGAAAAATTAGTTGCCTATAGATATCTTTGCACAAGAGGTGCACTGCTGTAGCAGTTGAAAAGGGAGTCTGGAACTACTGATTTGGGGCCTAACTAGTTTTTGTGAAAGTTACCAAGTACTGAAGGTGGGGCAGAGGTCCTTGAAGGAGGGCTGTAGCTTATAATTGACCCCCCAACTAACTGTCTACTTGGTGCAGAAACCTAATTACTGCAACTCATGTCTGGAATAGTAGAAAATCAATAAATTCATCCCAACATGTTAAACATAACAAAGAGTATTCAACTTAACCAGGAACATGTTGTCATCCTCAAAATATTGACATCAGTGAAATAGACATGGCGTTACTCAAGATTTGACAACTCAATGTGGACCAAATCATCTAAAATGTTTCACATGAGGGCTTGGATCTTGAAGTATCCTTTTTGCCCTTTTGGTACACTTTCAATTACTGTCATTCATCTCTGCTACCCAACTGTTGTCATTCATCTGACCCTCTGCAAACCTTACAGGGGTGGGAGCCTCGTGCATCAGGCCGCCTTTTTTGTTCACAAAGACCTCTTTAGCGCACACAGAATCTCAATGTTTTATGTTCACTGTTATTCATATTGAAGCTTGATGGCTCCTGATTCTCTCAAAGATTCTGGAAAATTAATGATGTTAGAGGCTGGCTTCCATCTGGACAAACAGCATTTGATAACTCTTCTGCATATAGTTGATAAAGTTCTGTCTTACATTTGCTGCAGATGATATGTTCATGTTCTTTTCTCTATGCATTACGGCGGTGGAAGCTTATTTCTTTTAATGGTGGTGAATCCTTGACTCTCACTGATAACTACACGACATTTGTGCCATTGAAGACGTTGATTCACACCCTACCTCTTGCTCTGACCTATTTGCTTTACATGGTATGCATTTCAATTTTCAATGTCTGATGTGGAACATCTTTTTCTGTTTTTGAAAACTTTTAGTTGTGATGATGATGACCCCACACCCATGCACAGAGTAAGGCAAGAGAAGAGAAGGGATATTATTCCAATGATGAAGATATTTCAACTATTTCATAAGCATAGTGTTTAATATGATCTCTAGCAGGTTCCAATTTGGTAATACAAAAATCGTTTTTTAAATTAAGAATTATATAGACTATTGTAAAATTAAGCCTAAATTAAAGACTAATTTTGGGTCTTGTGCATGTGATTGTGGGTTCGACATCAAGGTTCCACTACATACTGTGAGTAATTATTACAATTATTATATTCTTCCTTGAAAGCTAACTACTATGGAGTCTGTCCGCGGAGTAAATGTACCCATGTACACGACCCTTAGGAGGACGACTGTGGTGTTCACAATGTTTGTGGAGTATATTCTATCGGGGCAGAGATATACACGGCCTATTGTTGGAAGGTAAGCAACTATTTCTTACTGGTGCTTTTTCCATTATGTGCATGCTCTCTTTGTTCATCCAGTGGCAAGGATATGTAGTTATGGGATTCAGAGTTGTGTATCTTTTTATGTTCATGTCTTCAGTGCGGTCACTGAATTTTGTGAACTGTTTAAATGTACGACATATTTTGATTTAGTTATATGGCGAGGCAACTAGCTAACATTGTTTATGCTGTTAACAGTGGTGTAAAATCACTAGCCATTCACAATTTTTTAAAAACTCACTGGTAAATTAATTATATTCAGGAGTATGCCACAAGGCATTCTCTGCAGATGACATTTGCAGGTTTAAGATTTGAGTTCTTATAGAGCGATCCGATTTGGAAAATTGTGAATTAACTGAGCTGCCTTTGTTGCTTGATTTCTAGTTGTGCAATGATATGATAATGATACAAACATCTAAAAATGTATGTTTCATTCAAACATCAATTTGAGGCTCAACTTGTGATATACGTGAAGAATTTAATAAAGACGTTTCCTTCTAGACAGACTCGTATAAATGTTATGCTTTCCTTTGGTGTTTACTTTCAGGTTATTAGGTATGTAGTTTGATGTGAAATCTGAAAACTTGATTATCATTGACACTTGTCATTGACAGTAAAATTTACAAGCCTAAAACTTGGAATACATTGATGCATGACACACACAGAAGTCTGTTTGAAACATTTATGTCGTCATACTCTTTAAGTTTTATAGCTTCTTTCTACTGAGGAATTATATGATACAAATCAGTGGCAGAGGAATGTTATATCTATTCTGTCCTATATGGGAAGAACAACTCTCAGTTTTCATGCGTGGATGGTCCTTGTCTTGTGCAACTTCTTTTCTAAAAGGTTACCGCTTGTCATGGAAGAGAAAATTTTTGATACTCAACTGAAAGTGAGAAATGGGAAACATCAAATAATATGCATTATGTCATAACTAACCATAAAAGAGAGCAAGAATACCTGCAATAGGTGACGAAGATGCCCATAAAGCATGTCCCGCCTCTAGTTAAAATTCTTAGAAAACAACGTTGAGATTACTCTAATCTTCATCCAATTACATCTAACTGCAAAAACTCGTTTCAAAAAAAAAAAAAATTCACCCAAAAGTATCATTTATTCATGGAGCAAATGTCCATTTTCAATGAAATGATTTTAAATTGTTATCGTCCTCATTATCTGGTTCTATGTACTTTTGCATTTGAAATTCCTTCTTTTCCGCTTCATGTAGAAGACTTAAGGTTATTCTACGATAATACCTCCACAATAGAAAGCAATTTTTGATCCATTAGACGATCACAACAATGGTTCAACCCTCTTACATACCAATTGGATTTTTAGGTTGCGCATGTGGGGCAAGTTCTTGAATCCATTCTTGGTTTCACTTGAATCTGGATTTTCCTTGATTCATGCAATTGTTAGTACCATCAGGCTAGTGCTACATAAAACAATCAATGATAGCATCTTGTGAGTTTGGTGTGTTTGACATTGCTATAGATTCTATTTATTAGATGTGATACCATATCTGAATAGTGAATACTTATGATTCTAATTCCTACATTTAACCAAGAAGAATCTTAAGGTGTTATCAGTGTCGCACTGATCGTGCTTGGTGCATTTATCGCTGGAGCTCGAGACTTGTCATTTGACTCCTACGGCTATGCTGTTGTCTTCCTATCCAATGTCACTACAGCAATCTATCTCGCAACCATAGCTCGTATTGGTATTATTTTCCTTCCATTAAGTATCTTTTCTCAGCAGTTAGTTGTCTTTGTTATTGCTGATATTGTCATAATCCAGGGAAATCTAGTGGCCTCAACAGCTTTGGCCTCATGTGGTGCAATGGTAAGCTAACAAACTTCATAGCCACTTAGGTCCAGTAGATTTATTACTCTTTTCTTGCAGCATTTGTGCGATGTGGATCACTAGGATTCTAAAACTGTGAGATAATATCAATTTGCTTATCTGAAATGTAGGAATTATATGTGGACCAATCTTACTGTTCTGGACATTTATCCGAGGTGACTTGAAGATGACAATGAATTTTTCATATTTTCTTTCACCTGGCTTTCTGGTAATTTTTGGCCTCTGATAGACATTTCCTTGTTTCAATTTACAACAACTTTAATTGTTCCTTCAAGTCGGTGGATACAGCACTAGATTTTCACCTTTGTTGACTCTCTTCCACCACAAAGAAGATTATACAGAGTCTTAACGATAGGTTGAATTGTTTTGTGTTCAATTGTTTCACAACATTTTGTGGGTGTGATCTACTCTAATTTCTTTCCCAACTGTTTCTATGTTTATACATTCCTTCCCTTTGTTTGTTCTAAATAGATTTACAAGGATATAAGTTAAATGAATTAGTATGTCTCTTATTTCACAATTATTTTTTCTTGTTGCATAATCGATGAATATACATTTGCATGTTTGAGAGTCGCTTTGGTTTCCTTGTAGTTCTTTTATGGCATGAGAGTTACTGAGTTTTTTCTATAATTTTAACTTTCCCTCTTTTTCCTTCTGTTTTTTTCCTTCCATTTCATTTGGTTTCGGTTTTTTACCTGTTTCTTCTTTGGCAGGGGAAGAAGGAGGGGGTTAATATCTTTCAGTTATTTGTCTGCACTATTTTGGGATTGTGGTTTTATTCAATTGTGGAAAATGATATACCTAAGCCATGGAGTTCAATAAATTTATTGATGTATATGATTAGTATATCTATGGTTGTGCTTGTGATTCTCATGTTTTAAGAATACTTCTGTTACTTGAGTTTCAGTAGAAACCAATTTTTTAGTAGTAAGGCATCTTCTGGCAGACATATATGTTGTCATATATGTTGTTGAGCAGAATGTAGAACTCTCATATTGATCTAATTAGAAATTTTAGAAAAGAATCACAACATAAAGGTGTTGCTTGACTTGTGGATTTGTGAACTCTAGACGTAATACAAGCATTGTGCATGAGATTTTAGACACTGTCAACATTGTTGTTTTATGTCTCTGTGCCTTTATAGCCAAAACTGATGAATTCTCTGTTATCATTAACTGCAGTTTCATTGATGAAAACTGGAAAGATCGCTATTTGAACTCCCTTTACTGAATCACTATACATTGATATTTAATCCTTTTATGTGTTTGGATTTATTAATCAACATTTGAGATCTTTGGATATTGATCTATATTGATATAAGTTGACAAAATGATACCATTATTTTGCCATTCAGAGAACGTATAATATATAATTGGTTCACCATTCGCTGATGTAGGATAAACCAGTTCTGTTGTTTATTCTTATTTTTCTGCTTGTGTTTTCTCATTGTGTCTTGTTGTTTTACATCATTGATCTGATTTGTGACAGGGAATTCTTACCATCATGACAACTGTCCATGGAATGTGCTTAGGATTGCTTGAAATGTTTGATATTTATGTTGGTTTCATTTTGTTGTCTGTATTTCTTTGCTGTTTGCAAGATGATATCTAAAGTATAATTGATAAGTTTAGCTTTTCTTGCACATTTAAGTGGACCCTAGACTTTATCAGTTTGATGTTTCTATGGCAAATTTAGTTATGGTTGCTGGACGACATAATTTCTGATTTCCTGTGTGCCCAAGTCATGGTACTCTATTAGTTTAGTATTGAGGAGTTATATTTTGTTAAGGTTGTTGCTTATTTATTGGGATACCTGGGGCATGTCCAAGTATATAGGGGCATCTATTTGAAAAAATTCTTTTGATTAATGTTTCTATATGTCTTAAATGGGCAGGTCGTATTGCTTTTATCCTGCATACTGGCTTTCTTCTTGAATTACAGTATATTCCTGAACACCACTCTCAACTCAGCTCTCACTCAGACAATCTGTGGTAATTTGAAGGTTGGTATACAAGCATCTTGTTGTATCTTTGTATAAATAGACTAACAAAATAGGACAAGATTTGGGAGTTCTGAATGGTGTCATGTGGGACTTACTCACTTTCCTCTGACAAGCAGACCTCTTATTATACTCCCTCCTTTTGGCCACTTAGGTCAATCATCCCCTTTTCTTCTAAAATAGAGAAGGAAAAGAGAACTTGTCAGCTTGGTAAGAATGGCTGGGCATTTAGGCACGTGATATTTGGGCAGCCGTGCAGGAAAAGATCTAAACTAGCAATGTAGGGACTATCCATTTACATCTATTTCAACACTGCTGCTGCGCTTTTTCAAAATTGAATTGACTGTATATTAATATCCGAATCTTGGATAAAAGACTTGAAATGTTGTGATGACGAGGAGTGGAATTGTTGTGAATTGTAATACACATATAAAATGCTGAAGTAGACTGTAACATGGCATTTTATATTTCCTAAGAATGCCCATGAACTGGATGTTCCCTTGTTTGAGAAGGCTAGGTGTACAGGTAAGGCATTCACTGAGGGTTATGAACTCGACTTTTAGGCACAGTTTGTTTATTTATGTTCCTTGTATTACTGTGGAATATATTCTCATTATTCTGTTCAAGGATCAAAATTTCATTTCGATGCATTGTTTCAGTGACCTAGGAAGTGGAAACGTTTCGACCCGTTTTGAAAACAAAATAAAAACGAATACAAAATTTGAAAATTATTTTTTTAAAAATTGGTCGAAAAATACCAAAATATCTTAAAACGCTCAAAACTATTGTGTAAATACATTGAAACATTACGAAACACCTCAAAAATTTCATCATTAATGTGTTTCGATCTCTATAAAAAGGGAAACGTTTCGACTGTTTTGAAACAAAATTTTAGGGGTTGTTTGGTAACTGTCTTTGTCTTATGTTTTTGTTTTCAATTTTTGTTAGAAATGAAAACAGAAATATGTTTTGGTACTGTTTTTGTTTTTGTTTTATATTAGAAGTTTGGAAACAAAGAAAAAAAAAAGGGAACAAAAAAAATATGTTCCAAGAAACATCAAAAACAAAGACAACACGTGCAAAAAGGCTTAGGAATTAATGAGATCCGGACTTCGACTCCTCTTAATAGCAGAACAAGGCTTTTTTTTGTTGAAGTATAAAAGTCCATTTCATCCCACTCTCCTCCCATCACTTCTCTCTCTCTTCTCTCTCCTTTCTCTGTATCAGACCGCCAGACAATACTGAGAAACTCATCGCTGCCTCTCTCCCCATCGCTGCGTATCTCCTCCCCAACGATGTCTCTCTCCCGATCGCTGTCTCTCTCTTTCCTCTCTCCCTCTTCTTTTTGAAACCCAGAAGCTGTGCATATATATGCACAGATCCTGTGTATATATGCACAGATTTGTGCGTGTGTGTGTGTGTTGTGTTGATTTGGGATTTAAGCATCTGCAGAGTTATGGTTTTTTGGTTTAAAAAAAAGGGTTTTACTGTAATTAACAGCTGTGGAGTAGCAAGTGTTTGGATTCATGATTGCATGTTCCTGTGATTTATTAGTGACTTGGTCTTTATTCTTTTCCTTTTCCACTCCTGGTATGTGAGAATACAAATGATGTTCGTGTGCTAATATTGCTCCGGTATATGCACAATTGTTTTATTGTCAGAGCATGTGTGCTCTGTTTTTGGTTGTTTTTTTTCTTCAAATTCTAATTGTTGAACGATTTTTGATCTGTGCTAAACAAATTCAGTCTGTCTACATATTAGCGAGTGTTTGTCTAAAAGTTAAAATTTGAAGTAGTTACCAAACATATTTTTTGTTTTTATTCTCATAATTTGAAAGACAAAAATATTTCCTAAACATATTTTCTGTTTTAGTGTTTATCACAAAACAGAGACAAAAATTATCTCTGTTTTTAATTTTTTTTCAAGACACGAAAATAAAAACATTATCAAACGATCCCTTAATCCTTGATATTATAGTCCAATGCTTCCAGACATGAAGGCACTGTACATATTTTTAAACCATTTTGGTCATTGTGGTTGTAGGATCTTTTTACCATTGCACTTGGTTGGATACTTTTTGGTGGACTTCCATTTGATATTGTGAGTATATATTCTTCCGTTGCAATGTTTATGATTGTACAGTAGAGCTTTTTAGTCTTGCCTTCTGAGATAGTTTTATGGATTTGCTTGCAGTTGAATGTTATTGGGCAATTTCTCGGTTTTCTAGGCTCTGGGTTGTACGCCTATTATAAGCTCCTGGGGAAGTGACTGTTCAAGCTGCTCAAGTTTCCAACTGGAGGTAGCCGTCGATGCTATCATTTTTGTTCTCGATTTTGATTCAACATTCATGGGATAGTTGAGAGAGAGATCTACTGACTTCACATTAAGAGCATATTTCTTAGAGAGAAGTTCCTGATCCAACTTTTTCAAGGGAATCATGGCAATGCTTTTGCTTGAGTGAACTCCTTAAAGATAGATGGGTGTTGCGAACAGAATAGGCATGTAAGCATATCGCGGCAGCCACCTGCTGAAACTATTTTCTTGGATTCAGGCATTGTAAAAGTGCTGATACTCTCTTCCTGTATCCCAACCAAAAACTATGCAAAATACTCCATGGAATGAAACATGGTAGGTCATTCAACTATAGCATTGAGAGAATTCAACTCGGTATTGTTAGAGTAGTTAGGTTATTTAGACTTAGAGGTAGCTTAGTCATTTTGTTTACTTTTATGTTACCCTAGCTTAGTTTGATTGTTTTCCTTTTGTCCTACTATATAGAGACCTCTTATATAGTAGTTTTCTTTTAAGGTTGTTCTGGCTTATTGTGCCTCAATAATACTCTTCTTCTTTCTCTTACTTTTCTATGATTGATAAAAGTTAATATGGTATCAGAGCATGGTTTCGATCCAAAATATATTGTAGAACCGCAGTAATTTAGTTGTAAAAAGAATATATTATTGGATTGGGGCTGACATCATCTATGGCGATTTATTCTTGGATTAGGGTTGCTGATTTGTTTTTGTGGTTCTAAGGGCTGTGAACAGTACTGAAATTACTGTTCACGAGCTGTGAACAGTGCTGAATTCAACCGTTATGGATATTTGATTTGTAAAATTGTTGAGTTGATTTGTGACGAACTTTGCATTATTTGACGTTGGCTACCTCTTCTTTTCTGTTGGTGCTTCTCGTTGTTGAGTCTTCCTTGCTGAGCTAGTCTTTGTAAGGTAAGAAATCCTAACTACTAGGGTTTGTTAATTTTGGCTACTACTGGTTTGGGGCTAGTTCTGGTTTGGTTATTCTTCTGTTAATTTGGGCTTGCTATTTGACATAACGTTGTATTGTCTGGGTTTGTTTGCATTGTTTGTTTGGGCTTGCTTTTTGACATAACGTTGCATTGTTTGGGTTTGTTTGCATTATTTGCACTGAATAAGCAGGAAACTTTTGTTTCCTTTCTTACTGATTGGTGGATTTGAGCCTTTGGGACTGATTTTGTGAACGAACGGTTGGGTGAGTATTTGATTTACAAAGTTGTTGAGCTTTGGTTTTCTGTTGGGCCCTTATTTGCTATTTAGGAGTTGGGTTGTTGGATTTTGCTAGGTTGTTGAGTTGCTAGATTTTGTTTGTTTACTTTAATATTTGTTTTGGATTGCATGATTTGGGCATTATGGCCAGTGAAAATTCTGATTCTCTTCAGGCTATCAGTGTCAGATTAAAAGGTGAGAACTATGTATATTGGGCTTATGTTATGAAAAATTTCTTGTTAGGTAAGCAAATGTGGAGATATGTTAGTGGTGATTCGTCAACTCCAACTGATCCTAAGGTTGAGAAATATGTTGATTTAAAGACTACTTGGAAAATCAACAACGCTAAAATCATCACTTCGATTAACAACTCAGTTGATCAGACCATTGGTGTTCATTTGACTAAGTTTAATACAGCAAAGGAGATTTGAGATTATTTAGCTACCTTATTTGTTCAGTCTAATTTTGCAAAGAGGCATCAGTTAGAGCATGAAATTCGAGCTGCATGTCAAGATGATAAGAACATTTAGGAGTTCTACTCAGTTATGACTGGATATTGGGATCAATTAGCACTTGCTGAACTGAGTACTCATATGATATATCGCACTTTTAGAGTGGAGCAAAAGTTGGTGTAATTTTTGATGGCCCTCAGGAATGACTTTGAGGGACTTTGTATTTCTATTTTTCATCGTAATCCACTTTCCTCGGTGGATGTAATAGTGAATGAGCTTCTAGCTATTCTCATGCCTATTCTCTCTCTCTCTCTCTCTCTCTCTCTCTCTCTCTCTCTATATATATATATATATTCCATGACTTACAATTAAACTCGTAATAATAGATTGATGTAGGGTGGGTATTTTTAGCATTTCCAATAATTTACAAGTTGGTATCAGAGCTTACTCATTATTTGAAGATTGTATCATTTATTACTTGTGAAATCTATTAGCACTTTGATTTGCATCGGTTAGGTCGAGGCGTTATATAAACCAGCAAGATAGTTTGGATGGAAATGTATTGGAGATTAATTCTTTGATGTTCCAAGGTTGAGTCTTACAAGAAACGTCATGATTGATTCTAATCAGTACAATTTGCAGCTAATTGTACACATTTTGAATTTATGCGGACATAATATTTTGAATTTATGTTACAAGGTGAGTTCCATACTAGTAACTCTTAGACTCATTTTTATTACTAAGTTTTGATTCTCACGTAGAATCTAAGAAAACATGAACCTTGACAAATCATTGGTGAAAGGGATTACACAAATGGAATTTGATTCAAGTGTTCTTAAGTGACGTTATCAATTAATAACATAGAATTGTCTCGGACAAGTATTATTTAAGCTATTATAAATATACAGATAGGATCCATTGAAAGCAAAGTCTAGACAAGAAGGGTTGAACGGGAACAACGGGTTGTAGAGCTTTCGTTCGGCTTGGCTGGTCTTCATGGTACGAAGAATTCAGATTCAACAAAAGAATAAAAAGAAAAATCAGTTAAAATATGGATCTGGCGGCGGTGCGATGGTAATGGAGGTGGTCCTAGCAATGACAATGACAATGATGGTGATGGGGAGGTCGAGGGATGGTGGAGATGGATGCAAGGTGGTGATGTACTAGCAGCAACAATGGGGTGGTGATGGTGGATGTAGTGTCAAAGATGGTGGGGTGATTGTGGAGGCCGATGAGTAAAATATGATAGGGGTGGTGGTGACGCTAGTAGTAGAGTTGGCGGTGGTAGTAACAATAGGGGTGGTGGTGAGTGTGTTGGCTATGAACATGGACGGAACTAAACAGGGGTTTAGTGGGCCACTCACATTTTCAATTTTTTTTAAAAAAAAAACTTAGGTTTTAAAAAGTTTTATGTATAGACAATTCGCTCGGTACATTTAAAATGACCAGTGAATAGATTCTTAATAGTGAAATGAGAGATGTAAATCATTAGAGATGTAAACCATGAATGAATAATGATTTTATCACATATGATATTTTGTTGGACAAGTTTAATGACCAATTGAATTTTTTTTTTTTATATAAAATTATATTACAAATGTGGCTTATTTCAAAACTAATGTGTTGCCTTGAGACTTGTTCCTACTATCTTATCTTGTGAAATTATTAGTTGTGAGGATAATTTATTCAAAATAATTACACTATATCATAATACGAGAATAAAAGGATCATGACAATGTCACAAACTAAGTTTTAAAATATTAACAATCGATTATCGATCTTTAAATTTTATAACCCAAACTAATTTTTAATAATATTATTTGTTTGTTTGTTTGAAAGTTAATTATGATAGATTTTGTATACCTGTTGCTCTAGTTAATAAAATTCTTAATTATGTTATTATTTCGCTACCTTAGACTAGAATCCTAGTTCTGTCCATGGCTATGAATAAGGGGTGGTGGTGGAAGAATGAAAGAATCAATGTCAATAAATTTGAATTTATCATCAACCAATTTGTTTTTTTTTTTTTTCAACAGTTAGGAGTGTACAAGTTAGTTTACCTGCACTTTAACTAATTTTCTCTCCGGTCCGATCAAAGCTAAGTTATCCAAGTCGAAATTAAGGTATTCATGACGAATAAAAGTCTCTCATAACTTGGCCGAGTTTACAAGATTTGAACACAAAACGATTTGTTGAATTTGACATTGGATCGTGTATTACTTAATAGGACTTTTGATACAATGACACTCTTTATCTTATGAAAATTTTACTTTCTTGATGTTAAGGATTCAAACCCTATCCCGTTCTTCGCTTAGTTAAAAAAATTTAATAGAGATTAAATTCTTTATAGGTCAACCTATAAATAATTATTTTTAGACAACTAATAAAAACCGAGGAGCTACACAAACGCACAAATTAATGTTAAAGATATGCACACTTCAGCAACTGGCCCCACAAACAGCTGGTGCCACTCCAAACTGCAACAACGGTCCAAACTAACTGACAGCCTGGACGCCCCTGAAGGTGATTGAGCGAAACCGTTAACGCCCTCGGACCCAAATAACTGTCATGTTTCCAAACTCAAGGCAGAGCAGGGAGCGAGACGCATTGTGTTTCTTTCCCCCTGCTCTCCCTCTCTTCTTTCATTTTCTCTTTATAGAATCTCCCAACCTTACAAAAAGCGAAACCCTAAGCCTGAGTCTTCATCAAAGAATCTCAAACAATATACAATATACAATATATATATGTGCATTTATACACAGAACGAAGCCATTGTGATGGAACGGTGAACCAGTATCAGGGATTTAGAAGAAGTTAATGTTAGGGTTTCGATATATGCATTGAGGAGAGCAAGAGAGAGAGAGAGGATTGGTCACTGGTATTATGCAAGTCTTGGAGCGTGACCTCGAGGCCGATTTCTCCCCAAGGGTTTCATACGGAAGGAATGAATCGTTCTCGTATGCAGTACCTTTCTCTCCTTTGTTGCTTATCGAATCCATCTCAAGAAAGAGCTTTTCGTATAACAAGCTGTCTCAGGAACCCCTCAAGCTCACCATCCTCAAATTGGATGGCTCTTTCTTTGGTATAGTTTCATCCATCCTCAAGTTGGATGGCTCTTTCTTTGGCATTCATCCTCAAATTGGATGTGTAAGTCTGATTATGTGGGAATTGATAATGGCATTATGCGGAATATAATGAATGGGGATGGTTGCTTTTGCAGATATTGAAGTTGCGAAAACAGCGAGGGTGGCAGAGCTGAAGCTGGCGGTGGAGACTGCCTTCAATTATTTGCCAAGAAAAGGGCCCGGCAAGGTTTCATGGTATATATGTTCATAATTAATTAAATTTGTCTTTCTTTTGTATTGAGGATATTGAAAGTGCAACAAAAAAATATGGTTGATCATTCACCTGGAAATCAATTTACCCAATTACTTTTCTTAATTGCAAGTATGATTGATATTGGTGATAAATGATGGGGCTATATATGGAGAACTGAGGGAATATATCAAAAGATTTGGAAATGGAGTCATATCTTGAAAGCTTTTAAACTAGTTGTTTTTCTTTAAAAATGAATTTGTGTCTTTAATTGCTTCATAAACTGCAATAGAGCCATTTACCTTAACAATAATGCTCCTTTTGTTGCATTTTGTCTGCTTTTAATACTTCAAATGGTTTTTATTATAGTTTGCCACTTTGTTTAGAAACATAGTATTTAAGGTTGAATCTTTGCGCTATTTCTTTTCAAAATAAGCAGATATCTTGCTCTAGTGGACCTCACAACTGGGTTGGTGTATGTAGAGTGTGATATTCAAGTTGGTTCTGTTTCGTTGTCTTGTTAACATTTAATTGTATCATTTCCTAATGATAGATATTTACCCTGATTCTAAATTTTACTTTATTGATGCAGGTCACATGTATGGGGACAATTTTGTTTATGCTATGATGGCCAGAAACTACTCACCGACAGAGATTACATACGAGCTTATGGAATCAAGGATGGTGATCAGGTACACGTTGTCCTCCAGTAGATATTCATTTTCCAAGACAACTCATCTCATGTTATAGACTGGACTGAGGAATAATGCAGCTCAAGCGCAGGATGTTCGTCCTGTAGGGACGTTCCTTGCCCACTGGGACGAAGTCCTCACCTTTCCAACCATTGTTTTGTCTGCACTCTGCATCATACAAACTATTACCTTCTTGTGTATGCATTACATATTTTAAACATATGCTATATGTCTACAGCTGCAGTCATTGGTTCTGCTGGAACTCATGTTTATGGCAACTACTTTTGATTGCTTGCCCATTACAAACATAAATTGAACTCGAACGTAAGTCAAGATCCGTTGAGTTAGTTCCCTTGCATTATGGTGTTGAGGAAATTGGTCCCTAAATACTTATGTTTTTCTTTTTCTTTCTATGCCTTAAATTTATTTTTCTTGCTGGGCCTTGCATACTCAGCTATGTTAGAGAAATACTGCTTCATAGCATCACAAAAATTTCTTGTTTCTGGTATCCCCTCATTGTGAACCAAAGGAGCTTGTGTAAAGAGGAAGTTCATTGATGTGTTTGAGCTCATATGGATATTTTCCGTTAAAATAACGACAAATATTAGTCCCCACTAATGACACTCAAAAAAATGACAAGTTTTTTGGGGCAAACTAGCATAGGAAAATGACGTTAGGTGCCCTCCATCTGTACTTCAGACAGCAAATCTAATAGAGCAGTCTCAATTAAAATTTTATATTAGGGCGTGAGCATTTTTTTTGTAACTTAAGACTTTAATTTTTGGCATTTTCCAATAATGTAAGCTTTTGCATCTAACAGATCAGTGATAAGTAAGTTATGTGATATGCCTTTCAGATGATTGTAGATAGATTGAACACATCGACTAAAAATTCCCGTAAGATTAAGAAGTAGCATGGAAATAACATCAAATATTCCTCATACCAATTTTCTTTCTTTCACAAGAATTCCATATGTGTAATGCATGAATTCAAATCTTCTTCGCCTTTTAGTAATTTATGGTGGTTTTAGGGTTGGATGACTTGTCCATCTCCATTCTTTCTTATGTACAACATTTAAATCAATAAAAATATTTTGTTTCTTATCATAAAAAAGAAAAATACTATAGAACGGTGTGTAGTCATATGATATTGATCAATAGTCACTTTAGAGTTTAGAGTTCTTGTGAGATTTTTTATAGAGTTGGTTTAATCTGTCATGTTGAGGCTGGTTCATTATTTAGGTTCACTTGCGCAATTAGCATTTGTAGCTTCATTGATGTATGTCCTGGGAAGTTTGATGTGAACAAGATTGAGAAATGATATTGCATTGCTTGATGGGATTGAGATGCATGATACAGGGATTCTGCTGAGGAGTTAGAAATGGGTGAAGGCTGAACAGAATTAATAGTCTGGAGAAAGGCATGGACAAAATTTCTCTTACAGATGTTGGACCCTTTTACCACTAAAGCTCTATTTATAATAGTGCGGTTAATTTAACAAGAAATAAAAAGAATAATGCAAAACTTTAGGGAACCAAGAAAATTCTTTAGAGAGATTTAACTCTTTAGACCAGAAAGATACAAATAAGAGATAACATCTGAGGTTCCACCAAATGCAGTTGACAGAAAATAAGTCCCAACCTGTGCTTGTGCTCTCAATTTGTTCAATTGAGTTCCTTGTCTAGAGGAAGAACCATTCCTTTTCAAGCACGGGTGGCTTTGGATAAATTGATGTTTAAAGTGGTTTGAAAGATGTGATCCTTTTCAACACGAAGAATGCTTCTCTTGTTTCTGTAGAAATTATAAATTTTACCTAAAAGGGGAAATTTAAAGAGTAAAATTCAAGGATATATTGGAGGACAAAACATTCTACCAATTATAGAATTTGTCTAACACGTGAACTTGCTGATTGGCCTCAGCGGCGGAGGCAGGGTGGGGCAATTGCCTCCACTGAAATTCTAAAAATTTGTAGGGTTTATTTAAAATTATAATAAAAATTAATTTTTTTAATAACTTGCCCCCATTTATTTTTTTTTAATGCACTAAAAATTTAGACTCAAGGTTCGCTCATAGAAACTTAATCTCACAATTTTTTATTTAATCTCTATTATCTTTATTCCTTCTACAATGACTCACTTAAGTTATTGAATCAATCTTTCTCCGAATTCGATTACTAAGACATAGATATATATTTTTAATCAATTATCTAAGTTCAAATATACTACAACATTTTCTAAGATTTTAGATTTGGAAGCATAAAAAAATTTGATCTAATTATGATTCAATTCAATTCATTTCGATTCGATTCGATTCAATTTGATATGCATACACAAATATGTATATGTAAACATTTGATAAAACTAAACAATTAAATTGAATTAAAATTACAATGCGACACACACACACACAGATATATATATATATAAGATTAGATTTTTGATAAAATTCATAATATTTAATAGTTTCGAATATGGATTAAAAAAATGAAATCAATTGAATAATTAGATTAGATTCAAAATAGAGTTTTCAAGATAAATTGTCATTCGAATGTGTCAAAATTTTATCATTGACAAGCACACTGACAAAATGATATGTCAAAATAGCATTCTCTATGAAAACTGTCTTTATTCTAATGCTTTAAAAAAAATTATATTAGTTTTTCATAGTCGGCTATCATTTTTTCACATGTATTTATATGTGAAATCTTTGAAAGTAAAAAAAATAATATAAAGAATTATGTTATAAAAGGTGTTAGATTAGGAATTTTTTCTTATAGAGAATGAAATTTTGAGATAATAAATATATTCATTAGATGCAACAAACTTTGATAATGGTTAAGTAATCATTCTCTTTAACTTGATGGTTGTCTCTGGTTCTCTTTAACTTGATGGTTGCCCCCACTAAAAAAAAATTCTGGGTCCGCCCCTGATTGGCCTGAAGGGTTGACATTTTGAACTGGCAATTTTTTTGGCAGACTAATGGCATTGCTGCCTGCATATAGTTGCACCTATTCTCTTTATTGGTGGGCATTACAGGCCAAAATTATAACTAGCTTCATACACCCCTTACCTTTTTTAGGGTGTGGATGTGATCACGTGAATGTAGTTACTTTATACATGTTCTTCGTGAGGGGATTGCTCCTACACATTTGTTTCTTGTACTAATATTTCTTGTAATGGGACTTGCAGCTTCAATTTGTCCGGCATGTATCCATCAACTATAATATGGTGAAGACGCGATTGCAAAAACAGGGTCCTGCTTTTGAAGAACCCAGGATGTAAGTTATTTCCCTGATGATCTATTGTATGCACTAATTCTTTTTTCACAGAAAAGAAACACTTGTTGGTTATCAGCAATACATATTAGCACTGTCTTCCAACTTGTCTATTTGACTGATTCTTTTGGAATGACAAGAACCACTGTTCCCGCCTTCCCGGATATATAGTTCATTCGGACTCTGAACAATATACAACAAAATCAGATCGTGGGACACTCCTATCATCCCAATTAAAAACACAGACACTGAAGAATACTACTCTGATTTTACAAACAGTCATGCTTCTCCAAGGGAGAAGTCACCACAACAATCGTATGGTTCAAGAGGGAAATAACAGCCTATTGGGAGAAGCAAAATATGAATTAAGCAGAAGTTTCTTACTTTTTTTTACCCGTCTATTTAGTGTGACTTTTAACTGGAATCTCTCTCTCTCACACACAAGCATAAAGATTATAGGATCATAAATACTCCTACTGTCCCACAAACTAGGGTCGCACAACCCAAAACGGGGTGGGTTCACGATCCAGATCGCTTATATTCCCAATCCCAAATTGTAACTCAAACCCCAAAATATATACTAGGTAATTATGTGTATATTAATGTATAATTATATATAATCTCATGTAATAGAGAAAGCGATCCTATAAAATGAACCACGACCCGAAATAGTGTACCAATTAAACGTACCCCATCCTACCGCGTATCGAACGATGTACGGTATTACTTATCCGTACCTATATTACATATCAAATCAACCTACGATCTAAGTAACATTGCATGTGCCCCTCTTGGACTCCTGGCCTGGGGGTTTAGGATTTCGCACCAAAACTACCAAGGCAGATGGATGGTTGGTTGGCATCTCTAGTTTCAGTTAGTCATCATCTTTTTTGGGCAGATAACCTCAGCCTCACCAGCGTTTAACTTTTGGATAAAATATGTTTCAAACCTTTTTTTTTGTTTGTTTCTTCATATTTTATAGCTAAAAGGAACATTGGTTCTGTTTGGTGGGATTTCTTGCTTCATTCTTGTCTGTGGCAAGGACCCCTTTTGCTAAGTAGTCCCACATTGTGTCAAACCACTTCAGCCCCTCAGTTGAGTCTATGTCATCTTCTGATATGAATACTTCCTCCTCTGGCAGTTCTTCAGATAATTCAAGCCGGCTAGAAGCATCGAACACAGTTTACATTGAGTTTAGATAGATCTTCAAGGTTCTTGGTTCATGTCAGTAGTCTGAAAAACTGAGCATGTGCTTTGCATAATTTACTCTCTTTAAACATATTGAAACAATTAATTATGATTGTGAAATCTGGACTAACTTCATGATGGAAAGGTCATCGTGCAGATCAGATGATCAAGAGAGTGAAGAGAATGACAAGGAATATGATAACCATTATCAAGATGATGATGAGGATAAGGGTATAACCACACATTGTCAATATAAGTTGGCTCACTTGTTGAGAGGGTGGTTCTCATACCGCAGAATGGCCAGCTCAGAGACGAGATTTGAACAGAAGAGTATTCCATCAAGAGTCACCTATGGTTTCTTAGGAAGTTTTAAAAATGTTGTACGGCTTTATAGCAATAAATATGATTCTCAAAGGGAGACTTGGAAAGCAGTGTAATGTTCGGGCATATGCACTTCCGGAAAGGACTGCTGAACCAATTTGGGGATTCTGACTTCAATCAGCATTTGAATCTCATCGAAGCTCCAAATCCATAATGTTCCCATGCTTTCTATCAACCATGAAAGCTGTTTCCCTGGTACACTTTTGATCACATATCTGAATTTTGTGATTCAAGTTGTCCAAATGGTTGGCCATTGTGGTTCTTCAATGACAAACAGGTCGGAACAAGGCAATTTGATCTGATATTCAGTGGCTCTTTGCAGGATAATTGCATCTTGGGTGATAATTTTTCATTCTGTGTCACATGCTGATAGGCATTTCTTACGTTGGGGCGAATTTAGGTAGAGATTTGATTAAATTTAGCCGATTCTAATACTGTATAAGGAAGTGTATTATTAGCCTGATGTGGGGTGTGTGGGATGATTTGAATCAAGCCCATGGCCTTGCTAGGCAAGCACTGAGGTTAAGCAGACTTGGTCTTTGATGTACTTATTTGCTTTCTTGGAATGAATCTTTACAATTCACTAGTTTTTTTTATCAGAGTTCATACATCAAATGCAGAGAAATTATGTTATAACTTGTGATTGATTTTATTAGTCATCTCTGTTAGATTGGGACGCTAGTCATACAAAAAGTATAGGAAATCATAATACGCGAAATTCAATCTTGCCCTAATAACCGAACAACACATCAAACTCATTATCTTATGTCGGTAGGTTCCTTTATCTAGTGGTAAATGTTAATATTGATAAAGGGAAAAAAGAGAGAGAGAGAGAGAGGTCAAGAATAATGTTTAGAATAATTCATTCTGTAATACAACCTTAACACAAATATACAATGTAGGCATCTATATATTAGGGCAACAAAATAATGTAAACTACCTAAACTACCTATAATATAAATACTCTAACATTCCCCTCAAACTCATGATGTGGTAGCATCAAACATCAAGAGTTTGCCAAGGAGAAAACGAAAGCGTGCGATAGTGTGGGATTTGGTGAAGAAATCTGCCAACTACACAGTAAAAGTAAGAAATAGGAGAGAGATTGTGCCCAACTAAAGATGATGGCGCACAAAGTGACAATCAATCTTTATATGTTTGGTACGCTCATGAAACACCGAGTTGTGAGTAATCTGGATAGCACTTATGTTATCACAATACATAGGAGTAAGAGTAGTCAAGGAAATGTCAAGATCAGCAAGCAACCAATGCAACCAAACTATCTCTGCTGTGGTAGATGTCATAGCACGATACTCAACTTCAGCAGAAGAGTGAGCTACAACAGTTTGTTTCTTTCTTTTCCAGAAAATAAGAGAATCACCAAGAAAGAGACAAAAATCAGTGATGGATTTACGATCCATAGAGTCACTAGCCCAGTCTGCATCAGAGTAAGCAAGGAGCTCCAGAGATGAAGAAGAAGAAAATAATAAATTCTGATGTAACGTACCCCGTAGATATTGAAGAATCCGAAGAACAGCAGACCAGTGAAGTGTGGTAGGAGCAGCAACAAACTGACTAAGCACATGAACCGCATAAGTAATATCTGGACGAGTAATAGTAAGATATATCAAACTCCCAACAATAGTATGATATAAAGTAGGATCTGGCAGCAGAAAACCATCAGAAGAAGTATAACGAACATTGCGCTCCAAGGGTGTGTCAACCGTTCGAGTATCCGATAAGCAAGCTCGCTGAATAACATCTAAGACATATTTGGATTGAGAAAGAAGATAACCCTTAGGAGAGGAAGCAACCTCAATCCCTAAGAAATATCGAAATGGACCTAAATCTTTCATCTCAAAATAATCATGTAACTGAGTTTTCAACAACTGAATTCCAGTAATGTCATCACCTATAATAATCATGTCATCCACATAAAGTAATAGAAGAATGAAACCAGAAGAAGTGGATCGAAGGAAGAAAGCAGAATCATGATCACTAGCACAAAATCCTAAGTTACAAATAACTAAAGAAAATTTTAAAAACCCTACCCTCGGGGCCTGTTTAAGGCCATATAAAGCCTTGTGAAGTTTGCACACATGACTAGGAGTACAAGGCAACCTAGGAGGAGGAGTCATATAGACTTCTTCAGATAAATCACCATGAAGAAAAGCATTTTTCACATCCATCTGAGATAGATTCCACTGACGAACAGCTGCCACAGCTATGAATCGTGGCCATCTTAGCCACTGGAGCAAAGGTCTCATCGTAGTCAAGCCCATACTCTTAAGAAAATCTCTTTGCCATTAATCTAGCCTTATACTTTTCCACATAACCATCAGATTGAGTTTTGATTTTATAAACTCACTTACAACCAATGGGGCGTTTACCAGGAGGTAAAGGCACCAACTCCCAAGCACGAGTCTTATGTTGCGCAGAAAGCTCCTCATCCATAGCCTGTGCCAAAGAGGATCAAGTATAGCCTCCTTATAGGAGGTTGGTTCAGACAGAGAATGTATAAAAGTTAGGAAAGAACAAAAATCAGAAGAATAACAAGAGTTGGACCAACCAAACCTATCAAGACACTTTCGAGTGCGCTGAGAGTAACGGGGAGTGTGATCCACGATGTCAGAAATTGATTGGGAGCCAAGAGGTGTAGAAAAGGCACAACATCTATGGAGGAAACAGTGGGAGTCCTGCGAACATAAGTATCCACAATCGGGAGACGGGTAACAGACAAATCAAACAAAGAGGAAGAAGAAGAAAAAATGGGAAGATCAGTCACAGTCATATCGCCAACATAGGAATCAGGAGAAACATTAAAGGGAAAGGGATCAAGATAGAGAAGATCAGATTTATGAAGAGATGAAAAACTAGATGGAATAGAGAAAAAAGGAATATACTCCATAAAAACAACATAGCGAGAAACATAGAATTTTTGTGTATTAGGATCATAACACCGAAATCCTTTTTGTCCCTCACCATAGCCAAGAAAAACATATAAGGCTGACCGAGCCGAGAGTTTGGTACGATTAACACTAGGTAGCAGAACAAAACATGTACATCTAGACACACGTAAGGAGAAATAGTCAGGTGTCTTACCACATAATTTTTCAAAGGGTGAGACACCAGAATTAAAGATTGTAAGAATGCAATTAATCAAATGAACTATTGTAAGCACTGCTTCTCCCCAAAAAGAGCTAAGGACACTAGATGACAACAACAGAGAACGAGTTGTCTTAACAATGTGACAATGTTTCCGTTCAGCCACCCCATTCTAAGCAGGTGTGTCAGTACAAGAAGACTCAAAAATAGTACCATCAGATTTCAATAAATCACAAAAGGCACTAAAAGAATATTCTCCACCTTGATCACAACGAAAACATTTGATGATAGAAGAATATTAAATGCGCACCATAGCATGAAAGGTAGTGAAAATTGAAAAGAACTCAGACTTACGTGACATTAGATACACCCAACAATATCTGGTATAATCATCAATAAATGAGACATAATATCTAGACCCCCCCCCCTTAGTAGCAACAGGAGCTGGCCCCCAAATATCAGAATGTATAAGATCAAATGGTGCAAGAGAACGAGAATTACTTTTATTGAAAGGTAATGCAGTAAATTTTGCCAACTTACAACCACTACAATCTGAAATATCATGGCACTCTAAATTACCCAAACTACCAGTAGAAGCTAAAAATTTTAAATGAGAATGAGAAACATGACCTAAACGAGAATGCCATAAATAAAAACTAGATGAATTTGGACTCAATTGAAAACAAGATAAATCAACAGTAGATACAACAACTTTAGGGACATGAAGTTTGTCCAAAACATATAGCCCTCCATTTCTATGGCCTGTCTTAATCAGCTTCTTGGATCGTGAATCCTGCACAACACAACCAGTAGAAGAAAAGTGAACTAAGAATCCCGAATCAAACAACTGACTAACAGATATTAAATTTAAAGTAAGTTGAGGAATATAGTAGACATCAGAAAGTGTAAGCCGGGAAAATATGATAATTTCAACACCAGCCAAAGACATTTGGGTGCCATTGGCTGTAAGGACAGATATAGAAGGAGGGGAAACAATAGAAACAAATAAGGAAGAATTGGTAGTCATATGATGAATGGCTCCTGAGTCAAAAATTCAGGTAGTTCGAGATATACCTGAAGGACCTGTAGTAAATGAACCTGTCAAAGGAGAAAATGATAGGGCACTTGGTTGATGAAAGAAAAGAAGCTTCTGCAACTAATCAACTATTATAGTCATGCTGGGAGCTGATGAAAGTGTCTCATCCACTGGTGAAGCAGCTGCAGCTGTATGACGATCTTTGGGCTTAAATGGCTGCTGTAAGGCCCCCTTGACATTCCTATTCATCGATTTAGGACATTGAGCCTTCCAGTGACCCTTCTCATGACAAAAACTACACTCATCTAAAATAGCTTGACCCCGATATTTAGTCTGTGAGTGAGAAGTCCCTCTGGATGGTACTACCAACACAGTCTGATTAGGCAATTAAAGAAGACCTTTTCCAGAAATAGTCTTAAGACGGATTTCTTCAGCTAGAAACTCACTCACTACTGCATCAACTGTGGAAAGTGAGAGACGATGGAGAATAAAACCACAAAGGCCCTCAAAGTCATCTCTAAGGGCCATCAAAAATTTTACCAACCGCTGCTCCTCCCTAAAAGTACGATATACCATATGAGTACTCAATTCAGCAGGCTCAGCAAGTGCTAACTGATCCCAAAATCTAGTCATAATTGAGTAGAACTCCTGTATGGTCTTATCACCCTGACGTGCAGCTCGAATTTCATGTTCAAGCTGATATCTCTTTGTAAAATTGGACTAAACAAACAATGTAGCTAAATAATCTCAAATCTCTTTGGTTGTGTTAAACTTAGCCAAATGCATACCAATGGTCTGATCAACTGAGTTGTTAATCCAAGTGATGATTAGCATTGTTGACTTCCCAGGTATTCTTTAAATCAGCATATTTCTCTTCCTTCGAATCTGTTGGAGCTTGCAAAACACCACTAATAT